CACTTACTCAAAGAGAGTAGCTTTTGCATGTCCTTTACACTAAATTTCGAGTGAATTGAGTAGTGTTCTTGACTAGCAAGGGTTCGTAAACAGCAAATGCAGGCGTCCACCAGCATTGGATCAAATTCATCCAACGCTTCCAGCACTGTCTGAACTATACCCGAGTTGATAAGGAGCTCAACATGCTCATCTGTTCCCTTGGCCAAAGAGCCTACAAAACAACATGCATTGGGCGCATTCCACTTGTTGCTCAATACATTATAGGCTGTTACCAATGGTCAAAGCCGCCTCTATCCGAACACACGATTTCATAGTATTATCTTTGAGCAGATGGATCAATCGAGGGACGATTCCCTGGGCAATAACGCTTTCCTTCTGTCGATTGGAGCCAATCACCGAATTCTTGATGCATATTATGGACGAGAGGCATTTATTCATGTCTGGTGAGTAAAGATCGTCAATGTACGAGCGGGAACTCTCGACGTCCTAAAAAATGGGGCCGTTTTCGCAAAGTTGAGGTTAAAAAGGGCCTTACCATAAAAGCGGTGAATGGTTGCATTTCGTTTAGCATAGAACTGAACAGGGTTGACACTGTAACTGCACACAACAGCCGAAACACTGCACAACTTTGTTTAAATTAATTATCTACTGTTTTGATGATTATGATTTTTTTATTTGCCGTATTTTGCCGACTTGTGATGACAGTCGCAATTAGGGTTTTTCTTCTGGTGGTCACCCTGCGGGTGATAAGGAGAAATTGCTCCGTTTGTGCCAACGTTGGCCAAAGTACACTTAAAGGACTGCCTAGGCCTAAAGTATTGGGTGGAGTTGCCCGATTGCTCGAAATATGCAGCTTAAATGCAAAAATTTGAGTTACAAAATCGCCCCCAGTGCGACCAACAGGGCTAATTTAATATGTCACTTTTGATGTCAAAACAATCAGTTGTAACCTAAAAATCGCAGTTTTTTAGCTGTTTATTCAGTAACAGTGTTTTCTTTAAATTCTAGTTTAATATTTCATTGATAATTACCACAGTTCCAAGTAAGGTTTTCCTTTATCTTACCGCTCTAGTTCTATGTAGAGCCCCTTTGATTCACTACTGAATTCACACCTTTTCAGGATGCCCAAAGAGTGTATTTTTTGCAAAATCGTGGCGAAGACAGCCAAGGCGAGCCTTAAGTTTGAAAATGAGGAGATTATGGTGTTTGAGGACATCAAACCGGCCTCCACCCATCATTATTTGGCAATCCCCAAAGAGCACATTGAGAATGTACACAGTTTGCAAACAGCTCACTTAGGACTCCGTAAGTTCACACACACATTCCTTCATATCCTGGTAGATGTTGCATAGACCCCCTGAGAGTAGGTTCATTCAGAAACTTGAACGGATCAATACTTTGTTATAGTAGAAGGGCATTTTTAGTGGAAAGACTAGTCGCCGAAGGTCGACAGGTCATCGAAAAGGCAGGGGGAGATTTGAATGATATAAGGATGGGCTTCCATTTGCCCCCTTTTAACAGTGTGGGGCACGTTCACTTGCATTTAATTTGCCCAGCCAGCAACATGTCTTTTATTCATCGCGCAATGTTTAAACCGAACAGTTGGTGGTTTGTTGAAGTAAGTGGAAGAGGGCAAATTCGCCTCAACGCTGCTATATTTACACAGTAATCGATGTTGCAGGTGAGTGAGATTTTGGGAAAATTGAGCAAGTTGGCCCAAGAAGAGAAGGCTGCAAGCTCTGCTCATATACAGTCTAATCTGTAGGAGCAGTGGGATATTTCGTTTTTATTACATGTTCCCGTAAATTGTTTAATATACTCAAGGGAATTGCTAGGCTTAGTGGCTGTGAGGTTTATAGATAAATGTTATTTTGATTGCTTCACGCATCAGCCCCAGTGTTGTTTAGGAAATGGATCAAGTGAGGCAACAGTCACGTTAAGAAATATATATTTTTTATGTTACAGCAAAAGAATATTTTAAATAAATTGATTCAATAGAAGAAAGACACAAAATTAGGTACACAGACAACTAATACTGTTTAGAACAGAACATACAATTCGGTTTGTTTGCGCAAAAACAACTTTTCTTTGGTATTTTGACTAAATATTTTAATTATTTGAGAATGTTTACATCAGTTTCTACCACTTCTACGAATACCTCATCAACTAAGCCCTTGAATATGTAGGTTTAATTTATAAAATTTTTATATCTAACATTCGATTACAGATCTGGCCCTCCTATAAAGGCTTGCTAATAACTCAAACATATCACATTAATAACTTTATTGTGTCTTTCCTGCATTATTTACCCGCAGGTGGACCGGACATTTCTAATAAATGAATCAATAGATAATCGGGCGAAATTCGCAGATTTTTGACTATATTTCAGGAACCGTTTGAGATAAACACGCGCGCTTTGGAACACATTTTCCCATTTCTTAATGCTACTTTATAAGCGGTTCGGAATGGTTGCTGCAAAATTAATTAAAGATATCTTCAAACATGTGCAATCGAAAAGTTATAAAAGATTCTTGATGAGGAGTTTGGATTGGTTGGAATATTCAGCAGAACGTTAAGTAGTCGTAAAGAGCTCGCTTTGCCTAACTAGATGGCATGTTAAATCTAAAAATACAACAGATTCGTAAAATCCCTGCGCAATGTGGTTAAATGGACGATTATTGATATTGAATTTGTTTATGTGTTATTACATGAACATTGTATGTTATTACAAGGAAAGTCATCCAAAACTAAGTGAAAATACTCCAGAATAGACAGGATGAATTGAGCCCAAGAAGCCATTTGAACGTTGTATGTTAAATAGAATGGAATATATTCTGATATACATTAAACAATTAAAACATGTTGTTAGCTACCCTAAGAGCAGCGTCTAACAAATGCTCTATTCAGGTAAATGATTTATACTTTATATCTATAGTTATCTTCTAGCATTTACACAGAAAATATATTGTATGTACGTAGTGCTCCATCACACAAACTCGCCCGCGTGATTTGATATGAACCGAAATCATGGAAGACTAACTTAGAAAAATCGTACTTGACTTGCCAACACGAATTCGAAATCTCCCTTGTTAGCAATGTTTTATATCATAAATATTTCGTTGTGGTGTTGGAGTAAGAACTGAGTAAACATATTAATGGGTCCGATGGCAGCCAGAGACATGGAGAATAGTTCAGACCAAACTAAATTCGGTCCGAAAACTACCGCCAGATTTTGGGCGTTCATTTTGTTTAGATCCGATCTTTCCATCACCTGAAATGTCCGTTAGGGCTTCTTAAAACATTCATTTTTGTAGAAATCACAGTACTCACCCTCGATAAGAATCCGATGATATATTTGAGGATTTTATAGTTATCTTCCGGCAACTTTTCCATCACCAGTATTGACACGTTTCTCAATTGTTCATCCTTGCTCCAACCTAGGAAACAAAGCTGTGCTAATGGGTTTATCGGGATTTTAGGCCGTCGTTCGGTAGAATTTCTTCCTGACGTTTCGCAAGCACGAGTGGCTTGCATCTTCAGAAGTGGTTTGCTTGAACGCTTACACTGT